AGGTCCAAGAGGAGGCAAAAGAGGAAGTGAAGGAGGAGATCAAGGAGGAGGTCAAGGAAGAGGTCAAGGAGGAGGTGAAGGCCCCCGACAGCTGATCTGACTTAGAGTACTGTACCACTGTGAAATGCGTATCATCTTAGTTCTCCCCACCAACATGCTGCTGGTATGTGATGCGACCATGGCTGCCTCGGCCTATGTACAGGAGGAGCCCAAGCCAGAGGAGGAACCAGAGGACGCTGCTTTCCCCCAAGTCTTCCAGGAATGCTCCAAAGGTTCATTCAGTCGCCTTGTTTGCAGCATGCTCGGAGGCTAGGTGTTGAATTCGGGCCACGACTTGCCCAGCTTCCACCCGCCCAAATCTTGAGAGCAGCCATCGCCTACCTCACATGACTCTACTCACTTCGTGTTGAGGAGCCAGACGAGCCCTGCCCGGTGGCAGAGCTCGACGATGCAGACAAGGCTCACCCGGGTAAAGTGTGAGTGAAGAACGATGTGCAGCATCTGCTTACAGGGGGAGGGCTTCGCGCAACATACGCCTGCTTCGGGTCAGGCCACGTGGTTCAAGAAGAAAACCGTGCATCTGGGCCGCAGACGTGGTGAGAACTGGGGCTGGCACAGAAGCATCGGCAAGGGCAGGACGAGCATGAACCGATCATTTGGACTGTAGTCTAAGAGTCAGGGGTCTTCTGACGATGCGACTTCGCTTTGCGTTCCCGACCCGACATCTCCTCGATTTTACAGCCGAGAATCCTTGCGCAGCGACCCTGGGTCTAAACATGGGAGCCCAAATGAGAGACATATACCTCTCTCTCTCTCTATATATATGTTTCGAGGGTTCCTTATATTATGGACATAGTCTTATGGGGCCCAGAACCCTGTTCTAAAACTTACACTGAACTCTGGCAGGTCTCCTTACTGAGAGGGCTCTGGGAATTGAGGGGCCCATCGGCGCGCAAAGGTCCGACCTGACGGCTTGGACCTTCGGAGGCCTGCTTTGGATTTGGGCCTGTACGGTGTACAATCATTAAGAAAATGAATAAATAAATAAATAATATATATATATACACATACATACATACAGACATACATATGCATAGAGTTCTGGAGCTTTAGGGTGTTGGGGGTTTGGGTTTGAGGCTTGGGACTTCAAAGGGCTTAATTAGGCTTTTTTGGATCTTGGGTTTTCCTGGGGCGTCGTTGCCTTTAACAGAGGGCGACCTGTTCCCCCGCATACGCGCCGCGGATGCAGAGCACAAGTCTCGAGGCAAGATGGCAACCTTAGGAATCTTTGCGATGATACGGCTGCTGCTACGTCGCGGCCTAGAATTTTGCTAGTGCTAGGGCTTTTTGTCCAGATGTGCCTACCATCCTGCAGAGGATCTTTTTCGAAGTTCAGCATCCCAGACAAGGAGGAGGCAGGATGCCAAGAGTCTGACTGGCTTACTTGCAAAAGCCACCCCAACATAATCTGCAACATTCATTCTGAAGAACGAACTGAGGGATTTGTTGGAGTCTCTCAGTAGCCCGGGGCCGGACCCCTGGCCCCCGAGTGCTCAGCGCCGCAGGTGCGAGGAAAAGCCCCTTCAAATCGATCCCTGACGTACCGACCCCTGCCTGACGAGCCCCCAGACGCAGAACCCTGACCGATGGTGCCTGCTTCGCTCTTCAGGGCTTCGCTGACATCCGCTACAGCTGGGCACCGGAACCAGCTGCCAGGGAGTACCTGGGGCCTCTCGACTCGAAGCCTTTTTTTCGGGAGTCTTTGGGAGCCTGTTGGCCTGCTGCGCAGGCTGGCGTGTCCTTAGCCTATCCTCCCGTTATTATTATGGGTTAAGTTGAGTGGCTCTCTTGGTGGCAACTGTAGGCGTGTACGAGTAGCGAAAGTTGATTGGTTCTGCACTTATCCGAAAATGGCACAACTCTGCCGACGGTGGGTCTGGTGTGCCCCATCACTCCGACAATCACAGCTTAGGCAGTTCCTTCGCAAATGCCACTCGGCAGGGTCATGGTTGTACTTCATGAAAGGCTGAAAGCCACCTTGTTCGAGAGGATGCGGCATCTGCTGCAGCTTGGGTCTGTCCGGGTCTTGTGCATTGCTCCCTGCGCTCCGAAAGCAAAGGCAAAATCACCACCAAGATCGAAGACCTTGCGCCGGGAGAGTTGCTGCTTGGGTTATTTTTTCCGCCCGGACCCTTTCCATCCCTAAACCCTAAGTCCTAAACACGCGAAAAACCGCCATGTTTAGACATATCTGAACATACCCTGCAACACGGGCTCGTCCACGCTATGTAGGAGGGAAAAAACCCCGCCATGCTCTAAACCCAAAAGGCAGAGTTGGGTCGGAAGACGGTGTTTTGCCTTCTTGGCACCTGTGATGCTCGATATTGTTGGGCTTGGCTGACCCTGAGTCTCTGAGACACGGAAACATTTCAGCCGACGGGTGCCAGCTGGCGTCATCAAGTCCCCAACCCTTCAGGGCTTGGTTAGGGCCCTAGGGTTTCGGAGTGTCAGGCACCTCTATGGGAGTGTTTTGGAATATGCTGCTGGAGCCCAGGACAAGGAGTTGCATTAACCCAGCAAGGCATGTCGAAGGCCCGATTGAGAGCCCACAGAGTAGCTGCCAAATTCCGGAAGGCCATAGTTTTTGTTTATTTATGCTGAGCCGATGTTTGTCTGTTTTCAACAACGTCTGAAGCTGCTGGCCCTTTGCTGTGCTAGAACTGGTGTACTAGATGTCAGTACGCTCTGCGACATGGGGTGACCAGGTTCAAGACCAAGCTCACCGAGTGGCAGGGCATCCTCGAGGGTTGGAAAGCCACGCAGAGGGAGTCTTTCGGCGGCCCTCTTCGTCCGGTGCAGGATTCCTGCTAGGTTACCGAAAAGATGTCACTAACGCAAGAGGGTGCTGCGGTTTCGGGTGATTGATTCACTGCAGGCCGGGTCATCTTTTGAAATTGCAGAACTGGCTTTTACCTATCTTTGAGGGCGGGCCCGTCGAATTTGGTTCCTTCCAGAACCGGTGGCCCAAATCGCGCTATCTTTGGATAAGTTGAGCGCACTGGGGGATGAAGTTTGCTTGCTGTGAATTTTCGCAGCTCGCGAGGGCTCGCCTTATAGCGGCGGCTGCTTCTCTCGTTTTGCCCAGAATCGTCCTGTCGCTTCCTGAACTTTACCCCGCTCTCTCCAGCAAAGCAGGTGGCAAGAGCCGCATGGGTCCCAGGTACCACTGTCTGAAGCTTGGCACCCAAACCGACCTCGCATTCTGCGCCTTGAAGTAAGTATTAAAAAAAACGCCTGCCATTTTTTCCGAAAAACCATGCCCAAAGCCCAGAGGTTCCAAATGAGACCGCCGCCACCTCCGCCTGCTGAGCCGCCAGCGGAGGCTCCGAAAGGGGTGTAGGGCCGTAGGGCTCAGGACAGCGTCTTGAACAGGCATCACACAAGTGGCACGTATGACAATGACCGACCGAAGCCCGAAAGAATAGCAGCCCCTGCCCATTCTCGGTTCCCGTACATGTATTCTCCTATGCAAGAACACATTTTCAACACTTTGAACAGCAGTGAAACGGTCACAGGCGCTTCCGGCCGCAGACGCCGAGCCGACAGCAGAGCCGCCTCGTGGCCTTGTTGGGAGGGCCACATGCAGGGGAACGGCTAGAAATCACAGGACGAAAGGAAAGGGGATCAAAGGCGAATCCGCGGCGAGAGCCGCTGCGAAGCATCGGCGTTGCGATTTGGTTCGATGTCCGCTCCGGGTAAAGAGCTTCGTTGCTGTCAGACGTCGCTAGCAGACGCCGGGTGTTTGCTCATCTCGGCTTGTTAGTGGGGTTATCGAAGTTGTCAAGAGAGTTTCTGGTCTTTTCGTCCCCCAGGTACTTCAGGGTTTTAGGATCAGCAGTATCAGTATCACGATCGGCTTCCTTTTGCGGCGAGACAGGCAGCACGCGGAAGGTTCGGGATGATTCGGAACCAGGCAACGTCGGATCTCAGTTCTATAAAACAGACGTTCCACGACACCTTTTGGCACTGCTTAGCTTTGATCCGCTGCGAAGTCTTTGCCGAGGACGCCTGCTGCGACTGCAGGAGAGGGCACCGATGGTCAGGCGAGTCAAAGGGTACCGGATCCCTCGAAAAGTATGCAAATGCATGTATGCGCAGGCCTTCATGCATGTGCATAAGCAAGGTGTATATGTATATTGTATTAAGCCAGCAAATTGGGTGTTTGTGTGTATATGTATATGTATATACACACACACATATATATATATATCATACATTCATACATTCATACATACACACGACTAAGCAAATATAGATAAAGAAAGAACCGATATATATATATATATGTATGTATGTATGTATGTATGTATGTATATATAGAGTATGTACACATACATACCTGCATACATACATACTCATATACACATGTATGCAGTTTGTACTATGACCCATGCGATGTTTGTTTGTCTCTCTCTCTCTCTCTCTCTCGTAGGCTCTCCCATGAAAGAAAGGGTTTGCTTACACCGCACAAAAATCGCTTTGCTTCGTACTGGTACCCTGTCAGGTGCCGCCACCACCGGCGCCGCCTCCAGCAGAAGCGGCTGGGGAGGCGACAGAGGCTCCGACTTCGGCTCCTGCTCCGGTGGCGAAGGCTCTGTGGGCACTTGCCCGGCAAAGTCCAACTCGGCACCTCAATTCAAGCTACAATATACGATCATAATACATAAATATATAATGAGTTGTTATATACTATACTATAATATACGATTATAATCAACTGGAATATATTAGATAATATTAGAAAATCACTTTTGGCAGGCCGAGAAGCCAGTCCACGAGGAGCTTCCGCTCTGCTTTGGAGCTGTTCAGTTTCGGAGTGATCGCAGCATTGCCGGATCTGTTGCCGGGGTATCTCTGTGCCCAACACTGGTTTTCGCTGAGATCAGAGGCAATCCGCGCCAATCCAAGTGCTGAATCTTTTCCTTGATCAGGTTGACGTCATGTCGGTGCAGGATGTGTGCAACGTGCGCCACTGGACCCGAACTAAACCACTCAGCCGAGTTTGATTCACTCACCCGATGCCTTGTGGTTCTCCCGGAGTCCTTTGCAGTCCGCTGCGAGATTCAGCCGCGCAGCTGTTGGCACTCTCTGAAAGTACACCTTGAAACTTGCATTCCCAATGTTCCAGAAGGCTGTAGAGTGCTCAGCCGAACCCGAACTCAGGAAATGACACGCCCTTGTTTGCACTCTTCACCTTCGAGGACTCTCACGGCATATACTAGCGAGCCTCGAGCTGGAGATAAAAGATGGGGGTAGACTTAGATGATGTCTGCCTTCCTGCCTGCCTGCCTGCGTGCCGCGTGTCTGTCTGTGTGTTTGTCTGTCGCTTTGCATCTGTCTCTGTCTGTATGTCCCCGTAACTATGTATGTATGTATATATATATATGTATACATATACATATAATATATATATGTATGTATGTATGTCTATACTGATACATGTGCTGGCAGGATTGGGTGCTGGTCAACTTGCAACTTGGCCTGGCTTCATGCATCGTAGAGCGGTCTATGTTGCCATGTTTTTCTTCCGGAGGCTGCTTCCTTCCAGTGAAGGCTTCAGTACGTGCAGTGTTTCGTTCAGATGCACTTGCAGTAAATCTTGTAGAGCATAATATAATATGATCTACTATAATATAATACACTATAGTATATTATTACAATTCACGTTTCAGGCCGACGGCGAAAGTCTCGAGTGACAAATCTCGTTGAAACTCATGGAGGCGAGCCGAGCTCTCGCTGTTGACCCTGGCATTCCTGCAGGACCGAGAGTAAGGAGGGTTGTAGTTCGAATGATCGTGGAAATCTTGCTTAGGGCAATAGCCGTCTGATGTGTTTCTCTTACATAGGAGTTCTCAATCAGACGGACTTCGCTTCCGTGGTTCACGAGAGACAAGCAGCAGCTACTGTCTGCGGTTTTTGAAGATTAGGACATGTAGGAGGTTCCTGGCTCCAATCTGATTTAAAGAGCCTTCCGAGTTGAATGGTAGTGCACGAGAACAGGTGACAGACAAGACAATAGCACCACCGGGAACTTGGTTTCGGGTGTTGTGACCTGTGCACGAATCAGGAGGGCAAGAAGATGTCAGCATGTGTGCAATCCAGACAAAAGCACTACATATCCTGTGTTTTCCGAACCCAGGACGAGGCTTGGAGGGAACGAAGAGTTTAGAGGAAGAGTCGGGGAGAGAGGTGGTCCATGACACAGGGCCGGGATGATGTAGCAATGTATGTATGTATGTATGTATGTATGTATATATATATGCACATACATACACAGAGAGCTTTTTTGTTTCGCATGCATTTGTTCACTGCCCAGAGCCGGACCCCACTTGGCTAGAAGCCATCCTTCCTGGCTGGAGGATGCTGCTGATCCAGAGCGCCGGGCACTCAATCCATTGTTAAGCCGAGGAGCTGTGGTCAATGAGGCGTCAGGCTGGAGCTTATATTATATAGTTCTAGAACCACTTGAAGTGAAAATGGCACCGCCCCTCTCCCCCTAAATATATCCTACGACGCCTAAGCCTAGAAGACACAGGTCGTGGATTACCCGGCAAGAACAGAGCTCCTTCATACCGAGGTGTCGGCATCCATGAGTCGAACCTGGGCTTCTACTACCAGAAATACTTCAAGAGCCTCGGCTGCTGTGGGAAGGATCTGCAATTCGCGAGAAGTAGGAAGGGTAGTAGGCTTATGTGGGACTGACAGGGGCATGGCCAGGCGGTCGAGTGGTCCCCGAGAGTTGCTCCAGTGCCAGCAAGTCGGGCTTGTTGCTTGAGGAAGAGCCTCCTCCCGAAACAATATGGCATGAACACCAACATGGAGCTGGTTGAGAAGTTGGTGAAGGAGATGGGATTGACATGTCTTGGAATCGACGTCCTCTCAGGCCTTTGCGTAGTAAGCGCAGCAGCCCTTCGCAGTGCGCCGTGCTTGCACCAGCATGCTCTTTGTGCATCAACGGCTGTCCGTAGCGCCTACAGCGCATTCGCAGCGAAACGCAGATCTGCCACAGTTTTTGCTGGAAGCTCCAGAGCAAAAGCCCTTTTGTGTGGCAGTCCTCCCAACTCCGAAAGCCAGGACACTGTGGACATAGCTGCAGACACACAGGTCCTCACCAGCAAGCGAACGCAGGAGGCCGGTTGCTACTGTAAGACATTGCGCGGATGTCTTTCGCAAGTAGGCTTGTGGCAGGAAAATCGCGCGCAAGTTCCCGGAAATGCTTGCTGGATCCAATGCAGCAAGCGTATCCGAGCGTGCAAACGTGTTCGTCTTGGCAGGAGCTAGGTGACTTCAGCATCCTCGTCAAGCTCACAGAGGCCCCCATCGCTGGAGCCTGCAACTAGACAGCCCTGCTTGGCCGTGAGATGCCGTGCTTATGGGCTCCGACTCATGGCACGAGTATGCCCAAACACCCGCAGCCCGCAGAAATTCTGGTCACTCCTTGCTCTTCAGGCCGCTCGGCGAGACAGGCAAAGAAAACTCGACTCAGGCAAGGACCCAAAGTTAGCAAGCTATCCACAATGGGGGCGAGTTTCAGAGCTTATGATAGGTCATTGGAGCAAGTGTGCCCTCAGTGCTGGGGCAGTCACGCTTGTCGAGACGGTGGAAGCACGGGTCGGATCACCCAATGATCTCTTTGTCTGATGTCCAGGCGATGAGTCTGTGAGGCTTCAACTGGACGTCCAGGCGCACATGCCGCCTCCGCCACCTCAGCAGCAGATGGCCACCTGGCTCATTGAGGTGAGGGTTACAACAAGTTTTAAAAGGGCATGTGTCATTGTAGGGCATGCATCGAGGTTGTATAGTAGTGTTTTCTTGGTTCTCCAAGAAGTGATCTGCAGTCCCATCGGCATCTGAGGTACCACACTACCAGGGGGGCGGCGGCGGAGGACTGAGCTCTGGACGTGTTCTGTTCTGAAGAAGCGGTCATTGAGCACTGGTTGTGCATCTTGTGATAATTTCGAGCGGCAGCCCCTCGGCGACTTCGTGCTACATGGTGGGGTTCTGCATGCGCTAACCTCACAGACCTGACAGATGAGGTGGCTTCAAGGGCTACGGAAACAACTATGGTATGGACAAAGGAGGCGCACAGTTATGCGCAAAATCTTGAGGCCAATGCTTCCGGAAATCGTTGAGGCCGCCGTGCGAGCATTGTTGCGTGATGCCTTACAAATCTCACCTTCCTTTCAACACATGGATGCTTCTAGAAGAACCGTCGCCGAATCGGAATCCCCCCCGTCAGGCTACAAGGGGGACAAAGGCGGCTTCAAGGGCTACAAAGGACACCTGCCAGCTGCACAACTTACAGCGTGGGTTTCGTTGTGCTGCTGTTGAACAGATCCTAGATTTCTTATGACGCAGAATGCACGATTTGGTCGATCAGCCATAGTTGTTGCAGTGCAAGTTCACCGCAGTTGTTGCAGCTGTTTTTGCAGGGTTTGCAGCAGGCCTTTGGTGTTTAGGGCAAGTTGATTTAAGGTCTATAGGGTTTCAGATCTCAGGAAAGAGACCATTAGTCAGAAAACGAGGGTGCGCAGGACTGAGGACTTCGCATGACGTGCATGTCTAGTTGCTTCGCAGGAGACCGAGGATTCAAGGGCGGCTTCAAGGGGGATGGAGGCTGGATCCCATGTCGACGGTACGACATGGAGATGAGAAATGATGAGGACATGAAGATGATTGTCATCATGCTGGCATTAGCAAGAGTGACTGTGACATCCAGGATCAGAATGAGAAGTTGAGTCAGAAAGTAATGATGATGTTGATGATGACGATGATGATCATCATTTAGGGGCATGCAAGGCTGGGCGAGTAGGGTTGAAGCTTAATCTTCCAGGGCTCACGGTGCTGCAGTGCGGGTCTTGGCTTCTTGGAACTCAGGTTTTGGGCCTATGCTTATCCACTTTTGGGCCCATCGGCCCAGGGTTCGAAGGCTTCGGCTTCAGGTCCCAGGTGCTGCACGCTAATGCTCGTCGAAGGCAGGCTGATCTTTCGCACTTTCCTTCAGGGGCACTTGCTCCTGATGTTCCGAAGGAGATGGTGAAGAGACAGGATGCTGCACACTTGCTCAGGTTGGCATCGCCCCGAAGCCTTGCTACCACTGGACTAGATGCAGGGACTCCCTGAGCTATGTTCAAGCACTGGCGTGGAAACCAAAGTTTGATGTGGTGGTGAAAGGCATTTGGGTGGTCAGTTGCCTTTTTTGGATCGTTGTGTGCCGCTTGAGTGCTCATGCTAGCAACAATCTTCATTGCAGCACCGATGAAGTCTCCTGCTATGAATGTATGATGTGGTGCTTTTGATCCCCCTGTTTTTGGGGGGGCTGGGGGCTGTGACGGAGAGGGTTAAGCAGAGTATAGTATAGCTGCGAAGCGGGCAAACAAAAACAAGCCCAACCCCCTTTTGCTGGCGGGAAGGATTCGCAGGCCCGAAGTTGGCGAGCCCATCCCTCATCTCGAGTCCAAACGGGGGTGTGGCGCGGGGCTTGCGGGGCGCGCTTTCCTTGCGCATTGCGCGCAAAGTGGCGCCTAGGCCGCTTACCTTATAGTACACCATAGGCATGCCCCCCTCTATGGTACACCAAAGTGGTCATCCCTTGGTGGGGCTGGGCTGGGTGGTGTTGGTGGCGTTTGGCGGAGCAAAGTGACACCGAAGCTCGCGTATGACATACCATGCCCCGGCCTCGCTTCTGGCTATGGTATCCTGGTATACCACAGTGGTCGACCCTCGGGTCGACCACCATGGTATGCCATGGTCGTTTTGCGCATAACAAACCGCGACCATCATGGTATCACAAGATGGTCTGCCATGGTGGTCGAGGTCTCACGGTAGTAGGCCACGGGCCGGTGGTATCCTGGTATACCGCAGTCATGCCTTGCACCACACACTCCCGCAACCTTGTCTTGTGGCCATATAAATATAAGGCCTTATGGTATACCACGGGCCGTTGGTATGTCGTGAATAGATTTCGCCTACCTGCGCCCCCTGGCGCTGACTCAACCACACCACCACCACACTCTCATCACCAAGACCACCCTCACCACACAGCCACACCCACACGACACCCCCACTGCACTCCCACCGCTCCACGCCTCCCCCTGCACACCCTTACCACGCACCAGTCAAATCATCCCGAAGCATACCAACAAACCACGCACGCCCACCACACCGTCAACACACCACCACCACATCCCAAACCACATCCCTCACCCGTCGCCCTTCGATGCAGAGGCGTTGGATCGCTCTCTTCTTGTGACGGGTGTCTCCGAGTCCTCGTTTGATTGCGTGGGTTGGTAGAGCTTGAGGCCCTTGGCAATGGCATGCACACCCCTTTCCGTTGTTGAAACCCTCCAAAAACCTATCCCTGCCTTCGGCCGCTACCTTGTAGGGCGTCAGCCGCGTTTGACACACCTCACGCACTCCTCATGGCATTCCCAACAGGCTATGGCAAAGACTTCGGCAAGGACGGCTACCATCGTGCGTTCGACAAAGGCAGGGAGGTTTGCGCTTTGTTTATGTCAATATTGAGATCCAGTGTTTCTAGTTTGTGCAAAGTTGTAGAGTTAAATCGAGTTAGGCACCTTGTTTTTCTTGATCATGGGTCTTTGCCGGTAGCATGCTCTCTGCCTCTCTCCCCTGATTGCTTGTTTCTGCGAAGGCAAGAAGGGAGGCAGCTTGGCCAAGGTTCGAAGATATTTGGCACACAGTGCGGTTGCCATCTGGAGTTCTCCTTTCGCGCCAACCCTTCACTTTATAGCTGCCTCGGCTGTAGTTGATGCCTGATGCCCACCCGGGGGGGGGCCTCGTGGGAGCCAACTGAGGCGACAACAAGGGCTATGGGAAGAAGGGCAAGGATGGAAAGCCCGGCAAAGGACTTTAACTGCTCTCTGAGAGCTGGGCCAGCTTTTTTTGCGAATCCATAGCGCAGATCCAGCGCCCCAGCAGGATACTGAAGTGGTTGCTCCGAGTGGTCATGGACACGATCAGCGAAAGCGGAGCGTCCAGACGGCAGTTAATTTCAGAGGCCCAATTCATTCGGCGTGGTTACTCAAAGAACTGAAAGAACCGAGCATTGGTGCACCGAGGTCGCCCGGCGCCAGGCCCCGTCGTCCGGGAGTTTTGTGCGCGGGCCGGTGGGCCGAGATCAGTACGCTGCTACGCTGCTGCTCGACCTCGTGAAAGGAAGATATCTAACTTGGCCAGGCCCTATCAAGAAAGACAGTCGGGTTCATCACCTCGAATTTCAGGCAGCTAGACACGTTTCATCTCGGATGGATGAGCTCTTAACAAAATATACTCTCGAAGCATGGCGGAGGCAGCACATAAGGTAACCGCTTGTATGCTCTGACAGAGGGCCGACGCGTTCGGCTAGCTGTTATTGGTCTGCAGCTTGGCATGAGCGGCTGCGCTTGCATCATGACTCAAAAAGGCGCGGAAAAAAACCATCAATGAAGGCCTGATCATATAGCATCCGTGTATATGCACCTGCAAAGGAAGTGGAGCGCTCTAAGAAGCTAGCAATGACCATTTCCATTTTCCATTTCCATGCACCTCGAGGAGCGAAGCGCATCCGAATGCAGCTTTGGTTCAAATTTCATTTGCCTGGGGGGGCCCTCGGAGCTCTTGGAGAGCGGAAAAATGGCAGGCCTTTGAGTGCACGCTTCTCCCTCCGAAAGCCAGTCACCGGTCGGAGCTTCGGCGGTTTCTGTGTCAATGCGATAGCAGGCTGCCCACTTGCCAAGCTTAACTCTGAAGCTCTCTTGACCTACTTTGGGTGCAGGTGTGCAGCAGGACTCTGCCATCGAGTATTTGCTGGCCCTCCAGGCATTGGGCAGCTGTCGGTCAAGAGCACTTTAGAGGCTGCCAATCTCGGCTCTTGTAGACCTATGCCCTTGAATGCTATTCAGGCCATGCCGGGCCCAGTAAGTGGCAAATCTATCCTCTTGCAGTCCATTGACACAGTGATCTGTACCGGACATCATAGACTGTTAAGCCTCTTCTCTTCCAAGCAATGCTTCTTGCTGTGAGTTTCATTGGCCTTCTGCCTGATACGCCAGCCTCCCGCAGTCGTTTCAGTCCCTGTCCTTCCAAAGAAGGAGCAGGGACGCCTGCAGTGGCCAGGGTAAACCCAAGATTTACAGGACCAAAACGGGGGTCAGCATGGCTTTCCCAACCTCATTTCCTCACATCAGGTAAGTTAGTCTTCGTTCAGAGGTTGCTGCCTCTGATGGGACAGTGATATTAGCATTCTACCACCAGTAGCAGTCCATTAGTCGCGGACCATGAATCACGGCTTGAAGGGTTCGGGAACAACTTTAGCGACGAGACTTGCCTCCCTTTGGCATGGACCGCTCGACACCAACGTTGAGACATGCCGGCACACTGGCAACAGATGCCGGGCGCTTTGCGTGCCTTCGGCCGATCACGTAAGCTTTGAAAGTAGAAAAGATGTCTGTGGGCACACATGCGGTTGATGGCCTGGGGCTTATGGCCACGCCGGTCAAACTGGATTTCATGGACTGGCGATACTGCGAAGAATGCACCGATTCGGTGCCGCTCCATTGAGTGTGCATTCAAAGGTTCTTATCTTACTTATCTTGATAATCGTTCGCCAGCGCGTGGCCGAAGCAGCCTCCAACTGCCTCCCCTCTCTGTGATCATATCCCTCACGAGGTGCCGGAAGGCCCAGACCACAGGTCCTAAACCCCCGAACGTCATACCCACACACCCTGAACTGTAGCAAAACGCCCAGCGGACCTCAGCGAACGGAAAAGGGACGTCTAAAAACATACTCATAGTTGATGTTGGGTGGTTTGTAAGAGACCCATCTTCATGAAGCCATGAAGCCTTGCCTGACCTTTGCGAGTGCGAGAGTCGAAGCCGCTTCAAAACCAGTTAAGCTTTAACCCTACATAGCCTAAAGCCTATAAACCAAAGCACAGCCGTAGAACTTAGAAACCCTGCCCCGGGTTATCGCCTTATCGCCTCGAGGAAAGTTGAGGCACAGCTGCCCCAAGTGCCCTCCACGGACGCCTGGCAGCTGCAGGCCGCTATCCGCACGGAGCTCGACAGGCCGAGCTGCGGCCTTTGAAGCTGTGGATTTGACGGGTTTTTTGAGGACAGGGTCAGGGACGTAGTGAGGAAAGGAGGGTTTTAAGGTCCAACGAACTAACCGTGCTGAGCTGAGTGTAGATCCCTGATCCCCATTGCATGATATTTTTTATAGTCCTTATATCCGACGGCGTATTATGCAGAATCCCAACCATGCGCTTCACTTTTGATCCGGCTCCTGGTGTTGCAGGCTCTTGAGGTCTGTTGTCAGATGGGCTATTGGCATTGGTTGTGCATTTGTCGTTGTAGTGTCTGCAGCCCTCCCTGACAACATGGTACTCGGTGACACGCGCCGGTGTATCTAGGACCAGTGTCGCTACAGACCTTGCCAGGCTTGTCCGAGTGTGAGTGTCAAAACGCGTGCTGAGCCTGCAGTCTGACATCTGCTACTGAGTGCTTGGGGTCTGTCTGACGATACTATGTTCTTTTGAAGTGCAGCTCCTTCTGGGGAGTGCTGCAACAGAAAGCGGCGCATTGCACTTAACAAAAAACAACCCTAAACCCAAACAGCGAGTGTGAGAGTCGAGACCCAAACCCAAAAAACCTAAAGGCTCCCAAAGGCTCCCTGTCAGGGGCTTGCCGACCCTCCCCAAAGCGACTTCCCGGGGCCAGAGTTGCAGAGGCAGACGCGCCAACTGGAAGAGACGCTCGCGAAGCAGGCCCGAACCTTTCTGGGAATTTCCATTTGTTTTTGGACGTAGAAGAGGTTGGGGTTTATTTAGGGGCTTAGGGGTTTAGAGGTCCAGGTTCCCGGCCCCAAGCTCCATCATCTCGACATCCGTATGTATACTCTTACAGAGTATTATAGCGTTTATATCTCTTACAAGGAGTATGTAGGTACAAAAGGAGTGAAAGGCGAAAGGACTCCCATGCTCCAATGAAGCCTCTGACGGAAGTCTTTTGTTCGGAGCTCTGAGGCCAAAGTCGCTTTGGAGAAGCACAGCCAGGAGGCCTTTTTGGGGGGTCATAGACAAGCGTGCCAAGCACGTGAGATCTGAGAGCCTCATGAGTTTGGCGATTCCTAACTCGCACCTGCTGCCGTCCGTCTTTGGCCCAGCTTTTCACAGATCTGGGCAGTAGAGAAGCAAAATCCCAACCCGTTCGGACTGGGACAGCTATCTGAGGGAGGGGAGGCCTCCATTGTGGTGACTTGACAATCAAGGCCGGCCTCAAGCACTCACAAATCCTGAAAGATCTATAGCATTGCAAAGCCAATGAAACCACACGTGCAGAGGGGTGCAAAGCTTGGGGTGTGGGTGAAGATCTTCCTAAACCCTGAAACTCTCCGCCAACCCCAAAACCCTACACTCTAAACCCCTGAACCTTCTTGCCCTCGAGTTGCAGCGAAAAAGGTGCAGGGTGTTGCGGCAGCTTGGCAGCTCGTCGCGCGAGCACTGGGCGAGCAGCTCCAGGCGATTTTCCGAGACATTGGAGAGCAAGTGAGATTTCTTAAGTCTATATAGCCTTTGGGGGGAAAACGGTTCAGGATTCAGGATTTTGTCGGAGTTGGGTTCAGGGTTTAAGGATTCTTAAGTCCAGGGGCCATCAAGTCAAGGTGCTACTTTCCGGGCTGGCTATGTTCAGCAGAGCATCTTCAACTTCAGCAGGGGCCCTGCAAAGAGGACGATCCACTCGCATGGGTCGATTTCAGTCCAGCGATGTAACACGACTTTTGCCTCGAAGCCTTCGGTGAATGACATGCCTTACTAGAGAGACAGCTTAGCTTCTGCATGTGATAATCTCCAGGCCGTGGAGTATACCTTTCCCCAAACCTTAATTAGGGGGTTTTGCTTCCGGGGGTACACCGGTATACCCCAAAGTGAAAGTGAGTGTCCTCTTCTGTGAGGCTGGCTTCAGGTCGACGCAGCGGAGCTGCCAGGCACTCGCGCGCGCGCGCGCGTGTGCGTGGGCATCCGCTGGGCATCGTGGCAGTGCTCTGCGAATGGCGCTTTGTCGGTGCAAGTCTCCAAGGCAGTTGAACCTGTCCGTGCCATGAGAGGAGCAGGCGGAGCGCCTGGAGCTCTTAGAAGCGTATCTCCGCCGCACGCTGCAGGAGGGGGGCTCGCCAGGAAGCCATGTTTGATCGTGTTGCGCTTCTTTCCCCAGCCTTATACCCGCATTGCCCAACCCAGCCTTCAACATCGGCGGGGCTTAGATGCTTCCTAGCTGGTCCTAGCTCACAGACCGAGTTGCGAGGAGTCAGAGGAGAGGGAGGCCCATCGCCGGCAAGAGGCGTGGTCTTCAGCGGGACAGGTTTCTTTCTACTTGCGACCAGCGGTACGACTGAACACAAAAAGAGATGCCAAAGCTTCCTGGCAGGCCCCAGTAGACTTCTCGGCAGCGTGGGAAGCTAAACTGGATCCTGCCGAAGGTGCAGGGGGTCGGTGACGCCTGGCAGACCCTTGCGAGGACCATCGGCGATCAGCTGGGTCAGGTCGGAACTTCTCAGTATTTTTGGGGCTTAGGTTGTTTGAGGTCACGTCAGGTTGGCCGTGACTGTCGTGGTGGATTCTTGCTCGGTAGGTTGCAGTGCTGCTCTGAATGCAGATCTCTGCTGAGGCACTGCGGTCTGAGCAAAAGATTTTTGCACCACATTTCGAGGTGCAGCGCCTGGGGCATCGGCTTGAGGCTGGCGTGCAGGAGCTCTCCGACAACTTCGAGAAAGGCTTCCCGGAGTTTGACATGAGCCATGCTCACCACTGACACCACAGAATCTGGTTCGCCTGCTGCTTCATGCTCAGGTCTTGTGCATGAGCACGCCTCGTCTAGTCGGCATGGGAATGTGCTCAACGCTGCTGCCAAATGCGTTTTCCGGTTTAGTCGCTGAAGCACCTGCCACTGACACCTGTGCTTAGCACCTGCGGTTCCTGTAAGCGCTGAGCCATGCATTAGCCGACATTCTCTTCCGTGCACTTTGCGACCTGGTCTGCTGCTGGAGTCCTGTCGCAAGTATTCTGCCACCAACGAAGTCTTTGAATGTTCGGCATCTGCGGGGCGACATCTTTGGATCCTTCTGCAAGGTGCCCCACGGTCGCCACGACGCCTGAAGTCGCAGCCCACCTCACCAAAGCCGCGCAGCGGGAGTGGAGGGTGGTTGAGGGAGACTCAGCTTGAGGCTTCGAGTTGTGTGTCATCCTTGCATCCTGTTGCACCGTCTTTGTCGGGGAAGGGATCGAAAAAGCTTCGGGACCCCAACGAGCCTTTTTTGACTTCTTCTAGAGCAACCCCACATAATGCACCATGCCAGGGCATCCAGCATCGAAGCCACCGAGCCCACGATCCTTGGATCGAATCCTCATATGACTTTTCGGCTCCTTTCCTCAAGCCCCAAACAGCCCAAACAGGTCTCAGAAGTCAAACGCCGCACACACGCACGTCACCTTCAGTACACACTTTTGCTTCTAGTCCGAGTGGGCTTGTCTCAGAAACATCCCGGGAGGCAAATAAATGGACTTGCAGGCACAGTAATTATGCATCTTCTTTGGCCACGCAGTCTTCCAGTCTGTTACTTCGTCTTTTCCTGTGCATGTCCATGCCTGCGCAGGTGTCTGCGGCGTTGGCATTTGGATTTTGCTCTCTGTCAATCTTTCCTGTCTTTGCGGGACGCACGTAGGCCGACGTAGGCATTCCTGTGCGCTTCGGTCGGACCTGTGTGGTGCAAGCCTTGGGCCCGATCCGCTTCCAAGGCTCGACTCGCCAGTCTCTAAGCAGTCGGAGGAGGTGGGGCACCTCCCACAAAGCGGACATGTGCGGGTTGAGGCACATGCCTCAAGTCACTTACAGAAGCCTCTGCTTCCTCACGAGACTTCAATTTATTGGAAGCTCCTCTAAACCCTAAACTTCCCTAAACCCCTAAACCCTCCAGAACCGGAAAACCATGGCAGGTGCCACGAAGCACAGTGGTCGAGACGGAGGAGCTCCCAGGAACCGTCCTTGTCGAAGCCCAGTCGCCCACGTCGAAGACGGAAGGCAACGCCTCCATGGAGACCCTGAGCTGCTTTGTCAAGGGCTTTGGGCGCTATCACCCTAAACCCTCATCAGCCATGCCAGCCTTGTGCGAGTGTGTGAGTCGAAACCCTAAAGGGGTACCGTCAGAATTCCTTTTAAGGGTTCCTGGTCCTGCAAGGGTTCCTTTGAGACTATAGGGTTACTATAGGAACAGGGTTAGGTTTCCTTTAAGACGAAAGGTGCTTTTCCAACATGTCTAAAAATATGATCATTTTCTGATCTCCGAAATGAGGCACTGATGCACACCAAACCTCGGCATACGCGGTGCAAGCCGAACTGCCCTCAAAATTCTAGGGCACAGTAGCCCCCACGTGGGAATAACTCTTAACATTCCGTAGGTTCCTCATTACATGTGTTTATGATATACACCTAAGCCCTTTTCTCAGTGCGAAGGCCCCTCTATTACGTGATCCAAGAAGCTGTAGTCGTAGGTCTCGCGTCAACCGACCACCCTACCAAGTCATTCATTATTACGAATATTGTTCTTATGAATGTTGTCGTTATTATTGCTGCTATTCTTACTATGCCATGTCGATTTCTCTGCATGCGCATCTGCTGAGTGGCAAGGCTGCCTCCACAGAAGTGGAGGCGCATGAATCTGTTGAGTCATTGAAGCACCGCGCACAGAGAGCTTTGGTGGTCCCGAAAAGGGCGCGGCTGCTGAAGCCTTCTGGAGAGGTGCTTGACGGAGCACAAACGATCGCAGAAGCGAAGTTGATGAGTGGAGACAAGCTCCGTCTCCATGTGAACCAGGTGCAGCTCAAAGCCATCAAAATCCCTGCGTTCGCCGCTCTCTTGGGTGATGGATCTGTGGTCACTTGGGGTTATGGCGCAATTGGCGGCGACAGCAGTGTGGTACAGGATCAGCTGCGAGATGTGCAGCAGATCCAAGCGTCCAATGGGGCATTCGCTGCAATCCTGGGCGATGGATCTCTCGTCACCTGGGGCAATGCCTTCCATGGTGGCGACAGCAGTGCGGTGCAGGATCAGCTGCGAGATGTGCAGAAGATCCAAGCTTCTGATGAGGCATTTGCTGCAATCATGGGCGATGGATCTGTCGTCACCTGGCGCAATACCGCCTGTGGTGGCGACAGCAGTGCGGTACAGGATCAGCTGCGAGATGTGCAGCAGATCCAAGCTTCTTATATGGCATTTGCTGCGATCCTGGGTGATGGATCTGTGGTCACCTGGAGTGATGTCGACGACGGTTGCGACAGCACGGTGGCACAGGATCAGCTGCGAGATGTGCAGCAGATCCAAGCTTCTGGTGGTGCATTTGCTGCAATCCGGAGCGATGGATCTGTTGTCACCTGGGGCGATGCCTACAACGGTGGCGACAGTAGTGCCGTCCGGGAGCAGCTGAAGAATGTGCAGCAGATCCAAGCTTCATTGCGTGCATTCGCTGCAATTTTGGTTGATGGATCCGTGGTCACCTGGGGCGACGTCGACTATGGTGGCGACAGCAGTGCCGTACAGGATCAGCTGCGAGATGTGCAGCAGATTCAAGCTTCTAATGAGGCATTCGCTGCAATCCTGGTAGATGGATCTGTGGTCACCTGGTGCAACCCCGAGTTTGGCGACGATAGCGGTGCGGTGCAGTATCAGCTGCGTGATGTGTAGCAGTGTAGAAGCATGTCTCCCGAACAGCGAGAAGCTGCTTACGATCCCCTGGCTTCCACGGGGTGCTGTAGGTTTCAGTTTAAGTCATTTCGCATCTTTGTTCACATGTTCTTTGCAGCTTTTGCTTCTCAGCAATGCCGCGCTTGTTTGAAGTTTATTAGTTGGTCATCGTTGTCGTAATCTCTGCGAGTCTGCCTCCCATCTCAGTTAGGTTCAATATTGCTAATCTCCGGCCTCTCAAGCTCATTGTGTCCGCATTCTGTTCTGACTCATATTAGGAGTTCGCAACATCCTCAGGTTCGCAGGGACGGGCGATCACAACCGTCGTTGCCAGCGCGTAAACCCCAAGCCCCAAGCACCAAATCCTCGACCCTTACCAGGATTAAGTTTTCTTTCCTGCTGGTCTAGGGGTAAGCTTTGCAAATTATGCTTTGCGGTTGTGAGGCCAGCTTCTGTATCCTACATGGGTAGTTCTTTGAATTAGGGTCCCTTCTTAGATCCCCAATGTCAAGGGTGTTTTTACGATTTAAGTCGTTTTGGTGCTGTTAGAAGCCCTCCTCCTCGATAATGCCAACAACGCAAGCGGCAGCCAAGACAAGCTGGATAGGGGCAACATCGCAAGCCGTAGTCAACACTTAAAGGATACGGATACGGGCAACATCGCAAGCCGCAGCCGAAACAAGCAGCACAGGGGCAATTTGGCCAGCCGCGGCCAACACAAGCTTGAAAGGGGTCAACAACCCAAGCCGCAGCCAACCCCTAAACCCTAAAGCGAGAGGGGAACAAAACACAAACAGGATAGGGACGACAACGCACGCCGCAGCCAACACAAGCAGGATAGGGGCAACATCGCAAGAGTCACAGGAAGGGGGGAAGCACAAGACGCAAGCCTGCTATGGGCCTTACTATGGATATGCTGCCCCAATTCGACACCCACGACCAAATCCATTGGTTTACAGCTGCACTTTCTCACTCCCCCGAATCCAAGGAAAATGGTGAGCCAGAAGTCCAGGACCAAGGCCGAGACGCCGTCGTTGGAGAGCTCGAGTTCGCTTCTTTCGGTTTTCGGGGGGGGTGGGGGGGGTTTTAGGCTTTGGCGAAAAAAAATCTGGTCTTTTCTGCTACCCTTGTCTGCTGTAATTACTTGTCTTTCGTCGCCTAAGAAGTCTTGGTTTCATGGGTCCCTCGATTTCACGAATTCAACACGCCCAGCAGAAGAGGATGTATTCCTGAAGTCTGTATTTTCTCGCTGCTTCAGGCGCTACAGAGGTCCTCCACTGCCAACGACAATGCACTCACCTTCGCTGAGATGCAAAAGCAGTACGGAGTGTAGCTCGGCTTTCACCCTCCCGCTCACCAGGATGATAACTTTCCTTCTTCCGTGGCTAGGCAAAGATGTTACATGGATTCTCGCACTCGCCTACATCCTTGAACAGCCTTCTGAAATACGGCGCCGGGCGTTGCCCTCAAGGAAAAGGGGTCCTTGCTGCAAGAACCCGATAGCAAGAAGGGGACTGAATTTCGCCTCCCCTGTTGTGTACCCAGGAAGGGAAAGGCTATGCAGACCTTCATCGAAGAGCAGGACTCAGGCCAGCGGTTTCACTGATAAACACTAGCTGTCACCAGATCTCACTAAGTCGTTCACACAAACTCCGTATGTTTCCTCGCAAGACAAGGCCTCCGCTTTGCCGGCCTTGTCCCATCCGACCTGTGCCGGGCAACAGCTTAGAACATGGGCAGAAGGGACGGTAGGATGGCGCAGGCTGCCTCAGTGCCTGACCGGGACTGATGGGCCTCGGAGCTTTGTGAGGCATTGTTGATTCGGCACCCATGGCTATTCGCCTGCGATGGCTAGCTCAGCGTCTTGCGTCTCTGCAGCTTGTGAGTTTCCATCATGAGGCATTTGCTGCCTGCGGCGCTGGAGCATTGCCATCGTCTCCCACCGTCGCTTTGAGATGGTTTGCGCCAGCTCCTTGTCTGGAGCAGCTGAGCCTGCAGACCACTCAGTTTAATTCAGTGCTAAATCTCGCCTTCAACCTCACTGCCGAATCACCACATCCGAAGTTTTCCAAAGACTTATGCTCGAGAAGCCAAGCATTGACATGTAGCCAGGCTTGGTGATACTGTGTGCTGCCATGATCGGCATCGAGGCTCGCTGGAAGTCAGCTGTATTGTGGCAGTTTCCCAGGGGTTCGGAAGTGGTTCGGGTTTGGCACATCCGAGTTCAGCGCGTGAAGCAGAAGCCTTACACCTGACAATGGCAACCACGAGAAGCTGAAAGAATGCTGCTATGCCCATGCAAGCAGATATCTCAAGGCAGCTGCTAATCAATACTGTCTCAATCACACGGCAGGTATTTATGAGCGCAAAGGCCGCAGCATACCACAGCAGCGGCACCACCATTAACAGTCATTGCTACTAACTGCTGTTGCATTGTGCCCAGAATTTAGAACAATTCTTTTGTGGAACCATGTTGGCAATCTTGGTCATCTTGCACTCTTGGTCAATCTAGGTCCAAAAGCAAGATTGAGGGCAACTTTGCTAATCTTGCAATCTTGGTCATCTTGCCCCACTTGCTCGCCGACTAGTTTGCCTCTTCAGACTAAGATTGACCAAGGGTGCGTGCAATCTTGCTCCCCCACATTCCCCCACCCCAAGTGGGGCAACTGGGGCGCTTGGCAATCTTGCTCAAATAAATAATTGTTCTAGATTCCATATTCCCGGCGTACTGTGCTGTTGCTTCTAAGGGTGCTACGACCATTTCATATACTTTCGTTGAAACCGCTGCGACGGCTGCTACCGGCACGGCCACCACACCGACGACATCTCAACCGACGACGACGACGACGGTTTGAGGCGACTTCTCACTGGCAGCTTGATTTCCTCATTCGCGGCAGCCTCTCATCTCTTACCGGAACTCGCCAAGGCTGCGGTCCTGTGAGCCTGCATCCACAAGTAAGCCAAGCGCAACCAGGCCAAGTCATTTTCCAGTCAGACCTTTGGAGACCCCGGCCCACGAGACGGAGCCCTGCAAAGCATGGGGCTCTGCCCCAGCAAACTACCGAACCTGAGAATCCTGACGCAGATCCGACACGCAGAAGAACATATCCAACAGAGAAGCTGTTCGTGAGAAGAGACCCTGTGGCATCACAAACCCCATCTAGAACACACGTGGTTTGACACGTAATGCATGTGTATGTATGTCATGTATGTATGTCCGCATATATTATCAACAAGGCCATGCAGCCGAGGAGACACACCGGGAAATGCTGCAATGTTAACTGCACGCCAGAATTTGAAGAAAGGGGGGCCTCAGCCTCGAGCCTTCCAAAGCTTCACCGGTGGAGGCTGACTACGAGATCCGCAGCGGTGGCTCAGGCCACTCGACGAGTTTGTGTGCAGTGCGAGAGTCTGCTTGGAGAGCATTGACGTCAGGGTTTCCCGACAAGCAGAATTCGCAGAGCATACTGTAGGCATCTTTCCAGAAGGGGCTTGCATGCTGGGCTCGGCTGGCAAGGAGTTGTCCTCCCTTTCACGGCAGGTCAGCATCCGGTCTTCCGCGGCTTTGACATCGCATTCAACACCTGGTTTGCCGCTCTGGCTCTGCTCTGGCTCTGACGGTTTAACGGCTCTTACCCCGGGGCCCTGGCTGTAGAGCGCACAGAAGGAACTGAACACGGGGAGACAGGCGTAGAACTCTTCCAGATTCTATGTAGATGCTACGAGCTGCTGACATGTTGAGGCTGCAGAGCTTGCGCTGCGCTGGACGTCCGAAGGGCTGCGCCCATTCTTCTCCTGCGAGAATCCAGCCGTGAAGTGGCAGCTTGGCACCTCACAAATCGAGTTGGGACTTCTAGTTGCATCGGAACGTCAAAGTTCCTCTGACGGAACGAGCCATGAGATGTGTTTGACACAGACTTCAGGAACATCATGGACTGTTGCTTGGTCATTTCCTCTGCACTCGAAGCCGCTCGACAGCACATCTCAGGCCTCAGTGGTAGGATGTGCCGGTCTGCCGTCAACCCCTACGACCCGAGACTATGCGTCGCAGGAGATAGCAGCGCTGCTGGCGGCAGCGTCCTTTTTGGAGGCTTGAGCTTTGATGGTCAACTTGTGGGTCACTTCTGCGACCGGGGCATCGCTACATATCGGTACCAGGCTTCCGAAATCAGGCCAAAGCAGTCGACAAATGCTCCCCGATTTTGGCTTCGATGTTACAAGCCTTATTTTGCCTTACTTGTGGGGTTCTGATGAGCGCAGGCAATGATGCGGTACCGTAGCCTGTGGTGTCCCGCCTGTTGTTGCGCAGCCCGCTCATGACGACTGAAGAAACAGTTCAGAGGTCTCCACCCTTCGCATGCTGCGGATGATGCGACTGGTTCGAGTCGCACGAGTGATCCGTATGTTGCTCGGCCAGGGTTTCAGGAACTCAACATCAATGGTGTAGACCCTCTGATAGCATTTTCCAGCTCACCCGAAGAAGGAGTATAATATTCGGGATCGTGACAGTGCGGCCCGTATCACGCCGACTCAAACCTGTGGAACCTCGGCTTGTCCGAGTTGTGAGGGCGTAAACAACGGGGGTGTGTCTTTCAAGCCTTGGGCTTTCGAGGACCTCGGAAGATGCCTCGAGGGTTGTTGGTGATAGAGGGGGGCTTTGACACTTAGAGTAGTAGAGTAGGGCATTCGGCTACAGGATACGACCTTCGTGTCACCCTCTCTTCCGGTAAATAGCCGGGTAAGGAAACCGAGACAGGAAAGTAATCATCAGTGCTGGCATCACGTGTCTCACCTGCGTATAGTCGCCATCTCCGGACTCTCTTTCCCACCACCTCGCTTTCTTCGTTGGGTTGTCGGTCTTGTGGCAACCCGCTCTTCGTTTCCATCTCCCCTCCCGCTCACCTTACTGGTGTACCTTCCTCGGTGCAGTGTTTTCGGGCTCTTGTGGTGCTGCCTTTCAGTGGTCTCCTGATTGTGGTGTTTCGGATGTCGGCTCATTAAGCAGCCAGCTGTGCTTGTCCTGTGGTGTTTCATGTGTCCGGAATATTGTTTGTTGTGGAAGTTGTTCTTGCGTGGCCTGCAAAACGATGTGTCATTAATTCCGGCAGTGCGTTGGCAGCTAGAGGCTGAGATTCTTCTCGGACCTGCGCGTGATGGTCAATGGCATCTTGCTTGGAGTCGGAAGACTTCGACTTTCGGGATTCAAGATTTCGATCAGGGGGTGTCAGGCGGGAAGAAGAGGGGTTCCTGCGGCACGATCGAATCACTTGACTGTTGCATGCAGGGAGACCCCGTCCAAAAACTGTGCTCTTGATTTGTCGACCGGGCACCGACGGCAGCCTCACAGGGAGACGCTTTGCTTGGGGGTCGTGACAGTAAGGCTACTATTCAGGGCCAGGGCTTAAACTCGGGTCCCTTATTTTCTGAAATACCCGCAATGCCCGCGTAGTTATTCATCATCATCTGAAGACTGGCAGCCAAAGCCACCGCCTGCAAGTTTTGTACTTCGCTGAGAGGTTCTCCTTACTTGGAAGATGTGGGAAAGCTCGTGCTTGTCTCCTGGGGCTCGAAACGGCCTTCTGTAACAGTGTAAGGCCTCTATAAGGGAATTGATGAAGGGTCCTAAGTTTTGCGTCAAGCGACCAACCTACGAAGCATCATGTCGATTTCCGTGCATGTGCATCTGCTGAGTGGCAAGAGCGCTTCTTTGGAAGTGGAGGCGGATGCATCCGTTGAGTCATTGAAGCGCCGAGCCCAGAGTGCCTTGGCGGTCCCGAGCAGTAGGCGACTGCTGAATTCTTCTGGAGAAGCCCTCGATGGAGCGCAAACTGTCACAGAAGCGAAGCTGAAGAGTGGAGACGTGTTCACCCTGCTTGTGAACCAAGTCCAGGTTAAATCCATGAGGCCTTTCGGTTACCCCTTTGCGTTCACTGCGCTCCTGGGTGACGGATCTGTGGTCACCTGGGGTGATGCCGACGGTGGTGGCGACAGCAGTGAGGTACAGGATCAGCTGCGAGATGTGCAGCAGATCCAAGCTTCTATGCGTGCATTCGCTGCAATCTTGGTTGATAGATCTGTGGTCTCCTGGGGCGCTGGCGGCTACGGTGCTGGCGACAGCAGTGCGGTACAGGATCAGCTGCGAGATGTGCAACAGATCCAAGCTTCTTATAACGCATTTGCTGCAATCCTGGGCGATGGATCTGTCGTCACCTGGGGTGATGCCAGTTTTGGTGGCGACAGCATTGCGGTACAGGAGCAGCTGCGAGATGTGCAGCAGATCCCGGCTTCTAAGAAGGCATTTGCTGCAATCCTGGCTGGCGGATCTGTGGTCACCTGGGGTCATGCCGACTATGGTGGTGACTGCAGTGCGGTACAGGAGCAGCTGCGAGATGTGCAGCAGATCCAGGATTCTAACAGGGCATTTGCTGCAATCCTGGCTGACGGATCTGTGGTCACCTGGGGTCATGCCGACTATGGTGGTGACTGCAGTGCGGTACAGGAGCAGCTGCGAGATGTGCAGCAGATCCCAGCTTGTGATCATGCATTCGCTGCAATCCGGAGTGATGGATCTGTCGTCACCTGGGGTGATGCCACCTTTGGTGGCGACAGCAGTGCGGTACAGGATCAGTTGCGAGATGTGCAACAGATCCATGCTTCTTATAACGCATTTGCTGCAATCCTGGGCGATGGATCTGTGGTCACCTGGGGGCCAGCCGACGTTGGTGGCGACAGCAGTGCGGTACAGGATCAGTTGCGAGATGTGCAGCAGANNGTGCAGCAGATCCAAGCTTCTAGTCGGGCATTTGCTGCCATCCTGGGTGATGGATCTGTCGTCACCTGGGGTGATGCCAGTTTTGGTGGCGACAGCATTGCGGTACAGGAGCAGCTGCGAGATGTGCAGCAGATCCAAGCTTCTTATGGTGCATTTGCTGCAATCCGGAGTGGTGGATTAGTGGTCACCTGGGGTCATGCCGACTATGGTGGTGACTGCAGTGCGGTACAGGAGCAGCTGCGAGATGTGCAGCAGATCCAAGCTTGTGATCATGCATTTGCTCCAATCCGGAGTGATGGATCTGTCGTCACCTGGGGTGATGCCAGTTTTGGTGGCGACAGCAGGGCGGTGCAGGATCAGCTGCGCGCTGTGTAGCAGACGTTTCCTACGAGAGGTGAGTACTGAGTAGCACCTTGTGATGCCCTGGCGTTCATGGGGCCCATGGGGTGCTGTGTGTTTCAGTTATCGTTAATCCGCGTTTCTGTGCACAGGTGGTATGCATTCTTTGCTGCACTTTCAGCGTTCTATGTTGAAGAGGCCTTTCTTTAGTTTTTGGGCTGAAGCATTCGTGCATCGTGATGACCAAGAACGCTTGCACACCAAGCCCACTAGGCCCCAAACTACAGAGAGATGAGGTTCAGCAGCATCAAAACTTGAGATTTCCGCATGTGGTGGACGGGAGAGGGGAAGGGCCACGAAAGGCAGAGCCATGCCCCAACCAGACGTGGCTGACAGGTGGAGCACTTCACAGCCTTTCCAGTTTAGCTATGCATGTTCTGAGCGGCAATCAGAACATCGTGCTTTTGTTCAGTTCCTTTGTCTTGTTACAAGTCGCCTGAGGCATCATGGGCTCCACAAAGCCTTTGCTGTGGGCCTGCGTATTCCTCCTCATCCTGAAGCTTGGAAAGAGCTCGAATTCTCAGTTTTTTCGCAGGGGTATCAGCAACATAGACTGTGGCTCTTCAGCTCTCTATGGCTGGGGCGGAGGATGTCCAGTGTCAACTTTCCAGAATCCAATGTCTTGTTCGACATGCCGTTTGGGATGTTAACGATGGCATCTCGCGATCCATTCTCAGAAGCATTCCGGTCCTTGAATGCCGGCCCCGCTGTATCCCTTCATAGGTACGGACACGGGAGCGTGAGGTAACGGTAGTCCTGCTGGCATTGGTACCAGCAACAACAGTAGCACCAGTAGCCGCAGCTGTACGAAACCATGACGCACGAGCGTCGCAATTATCCAGCATGGAGCACCCGGAACTTTATCGAGCCCAAACCACAAACCGTCAAGGCTTCAAAGTCATGTGCTCAAGCGAGCTTCAGGATGTTCATGGTTGGCGTGACCTTCATGCAGCTCGCCTCCAACTACATCAAGGCACGCTGGGAGCCATGGTGTGATTGTGATATACATCTTCCAATGTAGACTCCCTCGTTGATATATTGTGTATGTATGTGTGTACGTATGTATGTATTTGTATATTCGGAGCTGGTGGACACAAGTCAAGTCGGTTCAAACATATAGGGACGCAGGGTTGAAGGGTTGGGCCTGTGTTCTGCAAAGCCATCGCTGAATCTTTCAGTTTCTTCGGCTGTTGCGCCTAGTGCTTCTCGAGGTTGCAGTGGTCGAGCCGGGTCTGGCCGGAGTGGCCTATTTTGGAAGCCTTGTACATCTTCATGCTGTTTCATGATCAGGCTTCAGAGCAGTGTTCGTTCTGGGTTTTGTTGCCACCGGTTGGACTCCGCAGCTTTCGATTGAACTAGTCAGACAACTCAGCTTCTTGATATTGGCCGTGCAGGAGATGGGTGGATCACAGGAAGAGCTCATTATGTATTGGGGTTCGCTTTCACGGACGATGATGACACTGCAGCAGGCTCAGGGGGATGTCGAGGGTGGAGATACTCAGGGACCTTAGATCAGATCATCTGTATGCACGGGCTGATCCGTTGTGCGGGCTTGTAGGGTTCGAGTACTGCTCGACCAACGTATATCATAAGCTGCTGATTCTGTTGAGCCTCTCACACTCTCATGGAGGCGCTACAAAGGCAAAGAGGAGGGGATCAATTAAGACTCGAGTCGAGTGACTCGAGTGGCCATGAGCCCACTGCTTCCTAGAGACTCTGAGCTGGGGTCTGTCCCCCTTACGGTGACGAAGATGCTGGGCCTCTGGTATGCCCGCAGTCGTCCCTTGTGACACCTTTACCTGTTGGCTGTAACTTGTAGCGGTTATTTCTGCTATTTGCTGTAATCGGGACTTCCCCAAGGTATATGGCCATCAGTGGTGGTATAGACTGGCAAGACTGCGTGCGGCCTCTGCGCATGGTCAGTGAAGCTCTGGACACCGAATTGTCTGTCTTTTGCCTTCGGTTTTTTCCACGTGTACCGTCCGTACTAAGCCACCACAGACGGGACGTGTTCTGAAGTTACTCATGCACATTTTTCGAGGTTGTAAGCAAGCTGCTCTGAGGCGGTCGAAAGTCAAGTTGCTTGCAAACTCAGAGCCTTTTTGAGCATGCTGCCGTTCTTGGTATGCAGATCAACTGATGCGTGCAGGAGTACATGTTTGCAACCTACGTCTTCTTCACCATCTTCTGCTGCTTGAACATTGTCCCCCGGCACCCGGCATGTGCCATGCTTGATTTCCTCTGTCGTCATTTGGGTAGTTCTCCAAGTTAGGAGTCACGGCGCCACGAAGGGAAGAAGGCAGAAAAGCAAGCCCACACGAAGACGGACTTTTCCGAGCTTGCCTGAGGCAACTTACTGGTGCATGGTGCATGGATGGTGGGTGGGTGGGTGTGGGTGTGGGTGTGGGTGTGGGTGTGGGTGTGGGTGTGTGTGTGTGTGTTTTTTTGTCTGCCTGTATCTGTGTGGATGGGTGTGTGGGTGGGTGTGTGGGTG